GAAACCCAAAATGACCCTGTCTTGTTTTCCAGGACAGCTGGAAAGCAGGGAACTAGGGAGACTCTTTCCTTCTCCCTAGGCTTACAAGAGTGTGACACCCAAGGGCGTGCATGGCTACATTAAAGTAGCTTTAAAGAGGAAGGAAAAGCAGGCCAACTCCCTTGGGCTGTGTGGGAAGAAAGTGAGGCCCAGCATTGTCTGGGCTGGAGAAGCAGCAGCTGCTGACACTGATAAATGATTCAATTGAAAAAATAAATGAAGAACCTCCAACACCAGAGCCACATTATTATATTATATGCCAGGGCAAGGAATTTTGTAGGCACGAATACTTCTTAGATCTTGTCCAAGGAGGAGTATTAGTTGGCAATCAGACAACCTAATTATAATAGACTCACTTGGCCTCATGTTGCCTTAAGCCCTGAGGAGAATGTGACCACAAGTTAGAATAATAATTTCAGGGGCGCCTGGGTGGCTCAGTTGGTTAAGCGACTGCCTTCGGCTCGGGTCATGATCCTGGAGTCCCGGGATCGAGTCCCACATCGGGCTCCCTGCTCAGCAGAGAGTCTGCTTCTCCTTCTCACCCTCCTCCCTCTCATGCTCTCTGTCTCTCATTCTAAAAAAAAAAAAAAGAAAGAAAGAAAGAAAGAATAATAATTTCATCTTACCTTATAGAGAACAACATAAAGAAACCGAAGGGAAAATATATAGTGTAGGTTGTGGAATTTTGAATCTGTTTTCTGTGCAATACATAATTCAAGGCTGAATTACTGAAATGGTAATATTCAGAGGAATATGGAACAAATTTCAGATGCAGTGAAATCTGAGCATTGCTGTAAGAATTTATTTCTAATTTAAAACCTCTTTGTGATTCACATAGAATAATGATGTTAAGAAAATTTTATTAGGCAGTTGGTTTTGCAGAAGAACTACTCTGTGGCATATTATAGGTGAGAAATTTCTCTCCAGAGCCTTTTACTTTTTTGACTCAGGCAGAATTTTAGATGAAATTTAATATGGTTATTACCAAAATGATTTATGAACCTTAATGATCATGAAGGAAAATTAAGAATTTTAATAATTGGAAAAGAAGAAAGTTATTTAAATCAGCCTTTCAGTTTATCTGCTTAAATTGAACTCATCTCTTTAAGCCATTATTGTCTAATTTGAACCTTCTGCCCCTCTTAGATACCTAAAAAATTTCTTCTGGGATTCTTATTTCATTTTTTAAAAATGTTTATTTCTTCTCTTGGGCTAGGGGAATGCAGTGTCTGGAGTGAAGACTGAATTTATTTCATGCTCTCTCTTGTTTGGAAAGAAAAGGCAATTGTGGGATTAAGTTGATGTGCTTTATTTCTTAAATATTTGGGAAAAGAATACCCTTCCTCACTACTTTTTTGTGATTTCCAGAAACCCTGAGCGGTTGTGGTGACTCATAACCATCAGTTGCAGCAGCAGGCTTTATATGGCTGTCTGAGGGGAAAGCCTCCTTCTGGGTGAAAAACAAGCCCTGTCTAGCTCAGGGCCTTGCACGCAAAGGGTGGGAGAGCAGACCTCTGAAGTGGATAGCTGAAAACAGGGGATGTCAGTGCAGTTCTGTGTTTAATCTCTGTGTCGTTCTTCTTTGTACATCATAACAGGTGGCTTAGTGGTTATAAAAGAATGGTTTCTTCTCCATTTTTTCCCCTCCACCCTCAGTAAATTGATGTTCCAGAGAGATGCTTTAGGTGTATTTTGTGGCTCTCTGTGCCCTAGACAGACCATTAAGTACCCCCAAGGTGTACACTTATCTGTTTTGAGAAATGTGGCCTTAGGGGATTCAGAGCCTCCTGATTGCGCCTCTTAGGGCTGTAGACTTTAGACTGATCTGGGTCTAGATCTGTCCAGGTAAGTCACATATCTGCGGATATTCTCTCTAAATTAAATGCCATCTATTAGGACGCAGGATCCTGGGCCTTGCTTCTTCTGTCTTCATACTGTCCACTTCTTTCTATCACTTGACCGGCACTTGGGCTTCCATTTGCTAAACCATCCACTTTGTCCTTAATCCTTCCAATTGGATTTACTTTCTGCAATGTTTCTGCTTTTCTGCTAACTCTATTGACTTTTTTTTCCTGTTAGATTTCAGCCTTCTCCATCTTTCAGCATTTCCAGTACTGATGATGAACCATTTTCTCAGGCCATTTAGGGCAGGGGATGCTGTGGCAGCACTACCTTTGTGGCTTTTGGCCACAGAGGTTGATTTCTCGCTCGTGAAACTATGAATGGCAGCTGTGCTCCATGTTCTCTCCACCCTGTGATCCGGTACAGAGAAGCAGCTCACATCTGGAGTGTCACAGGACTCAGGGTAGAGGGAAAGGAAATGGGAGCACTGCATGATGGCTCTTGGCTGCTCAGGAACAGGACGTATCATTGGCCAAGGCTGATGTTGCTGGGCAAGAAGTGTAATCCTCCCCCAAATCAGATCAGGTCTCCAGGGAGGCAGAGTAGATTTGACAATGGTACAGCCTCCCACAGCCTTATCATTTCAGTTTAGATACTCAGAATCAGACATAGTGCCTGTCAGATCATAGATATTAAGTATGGGGAAGATGTACTTCTTTCTTCCCCAAATGCTTTTTGTGGTGCTATTAACAACCTCAGCCTAACTCCATCTGTTTCTTCTCTGGATCCTCTTCATCCTCTACATTTACCTAAGTGTTGATCATCAGTATTTTCTTTCTTTTTTTTTTAAAGATTTTATTTATTTATTTGAGAGAGAGAGAATGAGAGAGAGAGAGCACACGAGAGGGGGGAGGGTCAGAGGGCGAAGCAGACTCCCCGCTGAGCAGGGAGCCCGACGCGGGACTCGATCCCGGGACTCCAGGATCATGACCTGAGCCGAAGGCAGTCGCTTAACCAACTGAGCCACCCAGGCGCCCCATCAGTATTTTCTATTCATTCTCCTCATCCTTTCTCTACAGTTTTCCATTCTACATTGATGTTTCAGAAATCCAGACTGTTTTCTTGTTTTGTTTTGTTTTTAATCTAGCTTGTGGCAGTTGCCTTCACATGATATTTCTGGATTGTTCAGCAAAACAAGGTTTTGCTCGTAGAGTTTTGATTTTAAACCATGTGGAGACACTATATATACTATACCATGTAAGATAATAATCGCATCCAGAAGCCCTTTTGAGGTCCAGCTATAGTCTTAAACACTCCTTTTCATAGTTTCTTTGTATTAATCACTGTCTATCTTTAAATGTGATGAGCATTTTGTCTTTACTTTGTACCCCCGAATACTTGGAATGGTTATTGCAGAGCTAATGTAACCTGCTTGCAATGCAATTTTTATTTCGATACTTCAGTTCCTCTACTAGACTGTAATTTACTGAGGCAGTAGGTTATTTTTTCCCTTCATACCTAACCCCCCTTTTATTGTTGCTAAATGCTAACACATGCTTGTTGAGTAGTATGTGACTATTATAGTTGCTATTTTATTAATTACCAAGGTAGAGTCATTCTGTGTGCTAGCTCTCTGCAAGTTTATTAAATGATTCTGCAGTTAAAATGCATATTTTAAAAATATTTTCAATTGCAGTGCCCTAGACCTACCCTTTCCGAGCCCGCTGGATTTTGTTGCTATTGTCCAAGAGGGCAGCTCTTTGCCTGAGTGCTTTCTCTGGCATCCCCCAAGAGCGGCATGAATGCCCCACCTCCCTTGCTCCCCAGTTAAGATATCTAAAGGGTGTCTGACATTTTCTCCGAGAGCTCCCCTGTGGGACTAAGGCTGGGATGCCCACCCTGGTAACTTGCTTGATCATGTACCCTGCATTGGTGCTTATCCCCTGCCTGCCTCATTTCTCTACTACTGGCAATCTAATCTTAGTCTCAGAGTTTCTAAGGCTAATCCAAACCAAAACAAAGATTTATATGTCAAAATTTACGATTTCAGAGTTTCTCTGTTTTGGTGATGTCCAATAATAATATAACGCAAACCGCAAATGTAGTTTCAAAATTTCTAGTGGCCACATTTTATAAAGTGAAAAGAAAGAGTGAAATTCATTTTAATAATACAGTTTATTTAACTCAGTGATGAGAGAGCAGAAGGCTAGCTGAAGACAAAGCATAAGCTGACACCCTGCAACCTCCCCCCAGCCCCCAACTCCTAGCTAGGATATTTGTGATACTCTTCCAGGAAGCTCCCAACTGTCTTCATGTTATTGCTTTACTAGAGGGAAAAACAACCTTAACTTGATAATGGCAAGGCCTCTGGTACTTTGTAGGTGGTCCTCTTCAGCATATGAAAGTTCTTTTGGAAACCTCCCTTTTTCTTTACCTCCCCCAACCCCATAGTATAAAATCAGTTGCTCCTCACAACCCCAGTGTAGCTCTTCCTGCCCACGGGTCCTGTCCCTGTGCTTTAATAAAACCACCATTTTTTCCCAAAGACGTCTAAAGAATTCTTTCTTGGCTGTTGGCCCCAGACCCCACCCCACTGAACCTCACCTATATTCCAAAACCACATCATCAATATATCCTAATTATTACCACTTTAACATGCAATCGATATAAAACCTATTAATTAGATTTTTTGGAACTAAGTCTCTGAAATCTGGTATTTTACATTTACAGTACATCTCCACTTGGACAAGCCACGTTGCAAGCACTCATCCACATGTAGCTAGTAGCTACCATACTGAACAGTGATGATCAATTTCCGACTGCTATATTCCATGCATCAAAATTTAGGGATTTGCTGGCTCTTGAGTATATAGGAGGCTGTCTGGTGGGTCATAGTTTCCGTTCTCAGCAAAATCTTACTTGCCTTTACTTTTAAGCTGAATAAAATCTCTGTAAATGTTTACACTGATGGGTGCCTTGTTTAGGCTGTGTGTACATATTTGTGTTCTTTCAAGAATGAGTCTCGGGTAATAACAACTCCGACACTTACTGCCTCTCACGTGTTTCCATGCAAAATATAGACAAGATGCTTAGCATCTCTGTGTTTGTGTGTCTTTCAGGCGGAGGGTACCAGGCTTCAGCGAGAACTCCGGGGATATTTAGCAGCTATCAAAGGTAATGTGTGTGAGTCATTTACTGCATGTTACCTTACCAAGCACAGATTGTTCTTGATGTTCATGAGTGGCGGGATTAAGTGTTAATTACAAAGCTGTTTGGTTTTCTGGCAAGATGCGTACTTGAGCACAGGTGCTCATTCCACCCGCTCCCAAATTCCCATGGAAATGATAATCAGAATATACAAGAAAAAAATGTCTACTGTTATGCTGGCAATGAGGAATAAGTGCTTCCTACACCAGAGACTTCTAGGAAGCTTTGTGAGATAGAGTGAGCTTGAGACCTTGCTTAAGAAAACTTGAAGCTGGTATATCCTAAGGGAGAGCATGTCCCAAGAGTAGACCACTCACAGGCTCACACTTCAGCCCTCTAGCTACAAGGGGCAAGGAGTCATGGCAGAGGCAGGTGGAGGGTTATCAGAAATCAAGGACCTGGACTACCTGTGACTTATGGGGACCAGCTGCCCTTGCAGCCCTGCCACTGGATGTAGACTGAGAGGCTGTGACACTGGTTTCTGGCCTTAGCCATGCAAGGCAAAGAATTGAGGTGGGCGGTGGAGGGAGGAGAGGGCAGTAGGGAGGTGTGCTCTGTTCCTGCCTGCTGTACCTTATACAGCTGCCTGCACTGAGACAGATCCAGGTGCACCCATGGATGTGATGGATCACAAGGCAGACTTCCAGATTAGTGGGGGGGGAGAATGGATCGTCTGCAAGGGGTCTTGCATCAACCAGCGAGACACCCAGAAAAAAGTAAGATCCTCAAGCTCATTCTCTACTCCCTCCTTCTCAGTTACAGATCTAGTAAAGAGTTAAATATGCATACAAAGACATGTCCTAAAGTACTAGAACAAAATACAGTAGACTTAGTCTCTAGTCTTGGGTGACAGGTCTTTACAAGGGCAACCCAAAAGACAGACACCATAAAGGGAAAGATTGAGAGATTTGACCTCATAAATATATCAAATTTATGTATATGTTTAAAAAAATTATTTTGACAATGTATTTAATGAAAGTGAGCTCCGTAAGTATGCTAAATGAATATCAGTTGATTAAAAGAAAAAATAGGTAGAACATATGAAGAAAAAATTAGCCAGAGAAGAACTTGGAGATGGGTAATAAGTGTGAAAAAATAGTTTCAAGTTTCAAAAAGAGTTTTCACTTATCCTCCTGGATGGATAATCAAAGAATATTAAGTAAAATCAAAAGGGAGATACTGTCATTTTTCTACCAAATGTTTAGAGACATTAAGATTAAAAAGACCGTAATACATAGCATTGGAAAGCTGTGGGGAGCAGACTCCTTTTATTTATTTTTATTTTTTTATTTTATTTTTTAATTTTATTTTATTATGTTATGCTAGTCACCATACAGTACATCATTAGTTTTGATGTAGTGATCCACGACTCATTGTTTTTGTATAACACCCAGTGCTCCATGCAGTACATGCCCTCCTCAATACCCATCACCAGGCTAACCCATCCCCTCACCCCCCTCTCCTCTAAAACCCTCAGTTTGTTTCTCAGAGTCCACAGTCTCTCATGGTTCATTTCTCCCTCCGATTCCCTCTCCATTTTCCCCTTCCTTCTCCTAATGTCCTCCATGCTATTCCTTATGTTCCACAAATAAGTGAAACCATATGATAATTGACTTTCTCTGCTTGACTTATTTCACTTAGCATTATCTCCTCCAGTTCCAACAGTGTTGATGTAAAAGTTAGTTATTCATCCTTTCTAATGGCTGAGTAATATTCCAATGTATATATGGACCACATATTCTTTATCCATTCATCTGTTGAAGGGCATCTCAGCTCTTTCCACAGTTTGGCTATTGCAGACATTGCTTCTATGAACATTGGGGTGCACATGGCCCTTCTTTTCACTACATCTGTGTCTTTAGGGTAAATACCCAGGAGTGCAATTGCTGGATCATAGGGTAGCTCTATTTTTAATATTTTGAGGCACCTCCACAGTGTTTTCCAAAGTGGCTGTACCAACTTGCATTCCCACCAACAGTGTAAGAGGGTTCCCCTTTCTGCACAACCTCTCCAACATTTGTGTTTCTTGCCTTGTCAATTTTTGCCATTCTAACTGGTGTAAGGTGGTATCTCAATGTGGTTTTGATTTGGATTTCCCTGATGGCTAATGATGATGAACATTTATTCATGTGTCTGTTAGCCATTTGTATGTCTTCTTTGGAGAAGTGTCTGTTCATGTCTTCTGCCCATTTTTGGACTTGATTATTTGTTTTTTGGGTGTTGAGTTTGAGAAGTTCTTTATAGATCTTGGATACCAGCCCTTTTTCTGTAGCGTCATTTGCAAATATCTTCCCCCATTCTGTGGGTTGCCTCTTTGTTTTGTTGACTGTTCCTTTGCAGTGGGCAAAAGCTTTTTATCTTGATGAAGTCCCAAAAGTTCATTTTTGCTTTTGTTTCACTAGCCTTTGGAGATGTATCTTGAAAGAAGTTGCTGTGGCCAATGTCAAAGAGGGTACTACCTATGTTCTCCTCTAGGATTTTGATGGATTCCTGTCTCACATTGAGGTCTTTCAACCATTTTGAGTTTATCTTTGTGTATGGTGTAAGGAAATGGTCCAGTTTCATTCTTCTGCAGCTGTCCAATTTTACCAGCACCATTTATTGAAGAGACTTTTTTCCATACATATTTTTTTCCGGCTTTGTCGAAGATTATTTGACCATAGAGTTGAGGGTCCATATCTGGGCTCTCTATTGTGTTCCATTGGTCTATATGTCTAGTTTTTGTGCCAGTACCACGCTGTCTTGGTGATCACTGCTTTGTAATATAGCTTGAAATCAGACAACGTGATACCCCCAGCTTTGTTTTTCTTTTTCAACATTTCCTTGGCAATTCGGGGTCTTTTCTGATTTCATACAAATTTTAGGATTGGTTGTTCCAGCACTTTGAAAAATGTCATTGGAGTTTTGATCGGGATGGCACTGAAGATAAGCAGCTCAGTTCTGGGACTGGTTGGAATAGGGTCCCCTACTCCTCCACCATCTTCTCCCCCCCAACCCCACAGCAGACCCCTTTTATACACTGCTGGTAAGACAGCTTTCCTGGAGGGCAATTTGGCAAAAGCCTCTAAATGTCTATTTTTGGGGGGAGGGGGCATCCCTTTTGACACAGTAGTACCAGTTCCAAGAACTTACTCTAGCCATCTCATTGTGGAAGTGTGAAATTGTTTCAAAGATTGTGATAAGTAATAAAATAATAATCTTAAGAATAAAAAATTAGTCATAATAATAAAACGGTGAAATTGATTTTTAAACTAAATGATATTTAAGCTTGTATAGGCCAGGCATATAATTTTAATTCTTATGACAACTCTGAGGTAAGTACTCCCATCATCTTCATGTTATAGATGACAAAGTGAGGCCCAGAGAGGTTAAATAGCTTGTTCAAGGTCATGAACTAGTAAACAGTAGTGCCAAGGTACAAACTCTCATCCACATGTTTCCTAATGCATTGCTTTTTTATAAATTGAAGTATAGTTAACATACAGTGGTATATTAGTTTCAAGTGTACAATACAGTGATTCAACAATTCTACACATTACTCAGTGCTCATCATGATAAGTGAACTCTTAATTCCCTTCATCTGTTTCCCACATCCCCCCACCTACCTCTCCTCTGACAACCACCAGTTTGTTCTCTGTGTGTTAGAGTCTGGTTTTTGTCTCTTTTTTCCCCTTTGTTCATTTGTTTTATTTCTTCAATTCCATATATGAGTGAAATCGTATGGTATTTGTCTTTCTCTGTCTGACTTATTTCACTTAATACCCTCTAGGTCCATCCTTGTTGTGGGCTTGCTTTTTTTTTTAATAAATTTTTTTAAGATTTTATTTATTTATTCGTCAGAGGGTGAGAGAGTGAGAGAGAGCACAAGCGGGGGTTGGGGGGGCACGGCAGGCAGAGGGAGCAGCAGACTTCCCACTGAGCAGGGAGCCCGATGTGGGACTCAATCCCAGGACGCTAGGATCACGACCTGAGCCCAAGGCAGATGCTTAACCGACTGAGCCACCCAGGCGCCCTGTGGCCTTCCTTTTTTTATCCACTGTCTTATCCAGCCTTTGAACTATATGACTGTTGGTAGGGCATTGGTTCCACAAATTTGAGTTTATCTGTACAGTGGAGTAATGTTAACTTACTACTATTACTTTAGAATGAGCACTTCCTGTGTGCTGGGCTGTGAGTTAAGCATAGGCATATTACCTCTTTGTAACCACCCAACATAGTTATATGATACATGACAACCTTCGTTTACATTTGTAAAGAAGTAAGGCTCAGAGAACTTTCACAAATTCATAAAGCTCATACTTCACTGTTCTAAAAAAATTAACCCTAAGTATTTATAACAGTTCAGTCAGAAAATAGAAGGCACTCTAGGTATTTCTTTTACTATTGGTTTAGGATTTGAACACAAGATGTCATATATTATTTCAAGCACAGGATTTTTTTAAAAAAGATTTAGAAAGAGAGCATGCACACGAGTGGAGAGAGGGGCAGAGGGAGAGGAAGAGAGAGAATCCTCAAGCACATTCCCTACTGAGCATGGAGCCTGATGTGGGGCTTGATCCCAGGACCATGAGATCATGACCTGAGCCAGTCGCCTAACCAACTGAGCCACCCAGATGCCCCCACAGGATTTTCTTTATGTTGGCTGATTTTTTTTTTATTCAATGTTGGCTGATTTTTTTTTTTAATGTGGATAAATTTATTGAATGAAAGAGTGAATTCAATCTCCTTCTCAAGTCTCTGTATTTTGGTCAGTTTTACATCCTTAGTAGGAAGACTGCTGTTTTAAACAAGATGGAATAATTCTCTTCCTTACTAGGGTCTAGGAGCATCCACTGAGGGAAGAATTAGCTCCAGAGAGACACTGGGGCAGCATCAAAGCAGCCTTTCAATGTTGTAGACTGTGTCCTGCTTCCACTGCTAATGGTCACATCCCCATAGGTAGGAGAGAGGACCTGCCAGCAACTCTTCCCCAACACATTTTGTTAACAAATGATACTCCATGAAAGGGACCTATGTCTAGATTACTTTGGTCAAGGCTCATTGGAATGAATTCTCCAACAGAACATAATTACTGTGGGGCCCTTAATATGTTAATATAATCTCCAGAAGCCCTGTGGGTGGGTGGGCAGCTTTTACCAGGTATTTGACGATGGAATGCTTTCCTCTTCTCAAAGTTATACCAAGAATTAGGGTTCCTTGGAGCACAGTTTGGGTTTTGGGGAACACGAGGAAAGACAACGGGTAGGCATTAAATAAATCATAATTTGGATTTTCAGGGGGCTTTCATGGCCAATTTTCCTGGCTTTCACAAAAAAAGAACACTAGCTAACTAACTGTATTGTAATGCAGGCAGCATTATGGAGGACGGAGATCTGGCCCTAGAGTGATGGCCCCTGGGTCTGGTCCCAGGGTCAGTGGTAGGAAGATCGCCAAGCTCTCAGCTACCTGGTGTTCCTCATCCATCCAGGTGCTGTCAGAAGCCCTCCAAATCTCTACTACTAAGACTCTGGGGAATAAGGTTATTCTTCGTCTTATGATCACTGGGTGCCATTCACCTCTCTATGTAACTGTTATTTCTGCTGATGCTTAGGCTTTGCAAGGTAGATCTTTGTTCTCATTTATTTTAGCAGCAAATGTTGCATTGAGCCCCATTTATGGGCGCAGCGCTGTTCTCGGAGTGGAGATGCAGAGACGAACAAGACACAGTGCCTACTCTGATGGAGCTGGCAGCAGAGATGGGGAGAAAGTTAAATAAGCAAAAAGGCCAAAGATACATAGTAATACAAACTTTAATAGAAGTGTGCCTTATGTGCATCACAACAGAGGACAGGACGCCCTCCCCCCAAAGGACAGGAGACTAGGTTGGGCCTTCCAAGGAACTTATGCTTAAATGGACCTAGGAAGGGAGGATAACTAGTTACCAGGTGATAAGATATGCTGGAGACTGTACTGCATGGAGTACTGGGTGTTATACGAAAACAATGAATCATGGATCACTACTTCAAAAACTAATGATGTATTGTATGGTGACTAATATAACATAAAATAAAATTTAAACAAAACAAAACAAAAGATATGCTGGAGACTGAGGTTGATGTTGGAAGGACTTTCCAGGTAGAAGAAGCTACATACACAAAGGTCCAGGAGGCAGGAAGAAGCTTGGGCTCTTTAGGGAACAAGTAGATAATTGAGGGTAAGCAAGAATCTGAGATGGATGAGACGTGGAAAGGTAGGTATGCTTATGTATCCTATCATATTGGGGTTTTAGTCTGTCAGTGCAGAAGGAAGTCATTACATCACTGTAGGCAAGGGAATGAGTCACACGATCCGTTTAGCATTTTAGAAAAATAGTTACTGTGGTTTTGGGGATTCAGGCTAGAGGAGATGAAGCTGCAAGGAGACTTCTTAGAAATCTAGTCCAGGATTTAATAATGATAGTGAAAAAAGCTAACATTTATTGAGCACTTTTGTGCAAGGCACTGATGTAAGCTTTTCCTGTCTCATTTCATACAATTTTAACTATGGCCACGGCACGTACTATCATTGAAAAGTAGTGTGTACACTTTGGAAAACTGAAGTCTAGGATGGTTAGATAATTTGCCTAAGGTCACACAGATGACATGTGTTGGCAACCAGATTTTAACAAAGGCTGATGGATTGCAAATAATAGTTTTAATTATTATGCCACAATGCCTTCTAAAAAGTTTTTCATAATGGTGGCTAACATTTGAATGTTAACTTTGTAGAAGTACTTTGCTCAACCGTTTACATTATCTCATCTAATCCAAATGACAGATGATGGATATGCAGTTGAGGGCCGTGGCAGTGGGCATGGAAGCAAGGGGCTTCAGGCAGGACTGGTGTGCCTTGGTGACGTACTCACTTTGGGAGGATGAATCCAGTTTTCTAACTGGGACTACCGGGTGACATTCATGAGGATTGGGAAGAGGAGTAGAGGTTTTGTCAGGAAGTTCTGAGTTGGTTTTGGGCACGTGAAGCATGAGGAACCAGAAGCACATCCACATGGAGATGTCCAGTAGGGATTTGGAATCAGGAGTCACTGGCATGGGGGTGGCCATGGAGGCCAGACACTGGGATAATGAACACACAAGAACTCCTTTCCACGGAGCGTGGCCCAGATGGTGGCATCAGTACTTGTTAGTTGTATGTGCTTGTTATGTGTGAGCATGACCCAGCGGTAGGGTTGACTGTCTTCGAGCCATCTCACACTCTGCCTACCCCCCCCAACTCTTGTTCCTATATTTGCTCTCCTGAAATCTCTAGGAGAAAGACTTCCCATCCTGCTTTCCTCTGAGCCAACTGCTGGCTTCTTAAACAGCTCTCTTCTAAATAGTGGGCAGAGCTGCCAGATACTTACAATATTGTAGATACTCTTGTAATGGTTTATGGTTGCTGCTGGTTATTGTCATAATGTATTTTAGCTGATGTTATTTTTAACTAAAATATACACCCTCAGGTTGTACAAAGAGGACTCTTGTAGCAATGTAATCTCTGCAACAAATCTTAGAGGGTGAGAATAGAAGCTTGCAAATTTGGTTGCAGAGGGAAAGAGGATGTTGCAGTAAATGCCTTGGAGAAGGTACAAAATTTTAAAGCAAGGGAAGTGGTTCCTATCCAGTAGTAAAATAATAATTCTATGCATGACGCCTGTCTTGCAGTTTTGGAAATCACTAATCTTTTAAGAAAATACTGGATATAGATATTATTAAACGCCAGAGGTAGCATTTAACATCTTCTCTGCTTTAATGTTGCCAAGCTACTTTGAAGGGAACTTGGGTTTTGGCTTTTTTTTTTTTTTTCTCTTACGCTCTGTCAGCAGAGTAGGTTCTAAATCCCTAAAATCTTTGCCATTCTTTAGGCCCCTTAAGACCAAAGCTTGTGTCTTGTTCACTTATGTGTCCATCCAAGTGCTTCCTATGGAATATTCTAGAAACAATTTCTATGTCAAAATGGACTCTTTCCAAATTTTCCATCACTATTTATCCACACAGCAATTAGTGGTTATTTTTGGCTGCTAGGAGGGATATTTACTGCAACATTGTGCTTTTAGCCCCAATGAGTAAGGTCTTATATAATTTTATTTTAAGCTTACATTCACAGTTTTATTTTTCACCACAAAGGTTATTTGTCCTACAACACCATCATTTCTTTTTCTTCCTCTTAAGACCTTAAGAACTTGTCTACCCAGCTATTTATAATTTCGTCAGACTTACGACAAAGATTTAAGAGAAACCTTCAGAAGCCTTTTGGCATCTGAGTTATGGAAGGGTGTCAACCAGTGACTGACATTCGAGGGGTACAGTTCTTAGTAGAGGCTTGCTTGTCCTTGGGGAGGAGCCAGTGGAGATGCTGGAGGTCATGTTGGTCCACCTCAGCAGCGACCGCGCGTACAAGAGGGGACATTCTCACTAGGGGATTCATTCAGAGTGCTAGAGGACATTTGCAGGTTTTGCATTAATTTTTGGCTGTCTCTACACCTACATGCTTTCATGTCATCACTGCTTTTGGTCACCAAGTCTTTTCAGCTGGTGTGGGCCATACAGGATGTTGTTGGGAGATCCTTTAGTGTGCTCAGTGATATGCTTCATGGACAGAGGGTTGCAGGCTTTCCTACTTCATGTGTCCTGGAAACCTTCACATTTCTCAAGTGCATAGACCAAATCTGTATCTGCATCTTACCGGAGGAAGGAGAGTGGGGGTGTTCCCTGCCTAGAGAGAAACTGTACTATGAAATACCATGCTGACTTTTGTACCTACTCCTCAAGGATTTACTTCTATCACTTCACACATCTTTTATTTTGTTCTTCTCTCATAGTTGAAACCAGAGCCGATGCCCTTAAATCCAACAAGCATCTAGTTGGGTCTAGATGGTTGCAGCTTTCAGTTTCATGAAAACTTTCCTTTGTGGAGTCATGGGCATTGAGTTTTATGAGATGCTTTTCGTTTGTAAGGAAAATTTCATATCCCCTAGTGACAAAAGCCAAGACACCAACTGGGCCAGGTCTCAGCTTCCAGTCGGTAGGGAGGGTTTGGTGCCAGAAGGGGAGCTTCTCCAAGTCACCAGCCAAAGAACGCACTATGGACTGTTCTCAGCCCTGCGCTGTCTCCACCCAATGTGCACTGTCCCCTCCATGGTTTGAAGGAAGGGCAGAGCAGAGACTGGAAAAGACTTGGTGATACTTTCCACCTCTGTGTTGCACAAGGACACTTTATATCCTTCCTGCTATTTAACAACCATAGTTTTTGCAACACACACCAAATGTACATCTAACGGAAATTCTGACCAGCAGAGTTAAGAACTCTAAGCTTTCTGAGAGTTCTGATTTAAAACTGTATATGTAACTTTTAATAACTTTAGAAAAAGAAAAACTTTTTTTTCTTTTTTCTTTCGAAAATAGGCCATTTAAACTACTTCCAGCTGTTTTGCCTTAGAATCCTGTTAATTTTGCTTCAGCCTGCTTCTGTGGAAGGCTTTATTTCTTATATTTAAAGTCATTTAGGATTAATTTTATTTTTTGAGCTCCGTAGTCTTATGGATGTGTTATTTTAGGTGTTCTGTGTATTTATGGTCCTGTGCCATGTCATACGTGATGGCATGCATAATAGAACACATTACAATTGTTGTTTTCAGAATAGAACACCTTGTTGATTTTTTTCAAGACTCAGTATCTGCCATTATCATGAAAATAATAGAAAAGGCACAATGTAATCAGATACGTTAGAAAAGTAGGGGACACAGGAAGGGGCACCTCACCCATGTCTATCCAACCAGAGTTGTTTTTCTCCAACACTAGGCATGCAAGAAGCCTCGATGAAGCTCACCGAATCGCTGCATGAAGTCTACGAGCCTGACTGGTATGGGCGGGAAGATGTGAAGATGGTTGGTGAGGTAAGATCAGGATCACAGACCACAGGAGCCCTGGGGCACTTCTGCCAGGGTTCCAGCACATTCCACTAAATCATGATGGGGCACCATGTACCCAGAAGACACCGTACTATTCTGCCATCCAGATCAGCCCAAACTCATACTGATTAGTGAGCCATTATAAAACTAGAGGTATAAAGCTGTGCTTTAGTTAAAGGTGATTTTTCTTCAAAATAAGAATAGTGTTTCCCCAACCCTTTCTACACATCTTAGCTCATCTCAGCAGCAGAACTGGCCCAGGGCAGAACTTCACCCCTGTACCCCTTCTCCTCCCATCCTGTCTTGAAAGCAGGGTTAGGAGGTGTGAAAAGCACCTATTTCACTTAAATGCCACTGGTCCATTCACTGGTCTGCAGAGCCTAAGGACAGATGTGGTCAGCCTGTGGTCAGGAATGTAACTTCCAGAAGCCTTTGTCCCTAGACATGTCTTAACACCTGAAATCCAATTTGCAGCCAAGGACCATCTGGCTGGCGAGAAGTGAGAAAGTGGGTGTTTTCCGCTTTGCAGAAGGCCTAATGGGGTAGAGACCAGGAGTGACCTCTGTATGATATTGGATGAATTCTTCAACTTCTCGGGCTTTAGCTTCCTCACCTTCAGAGTGAGAATAAGAATTGTACCAACTAATAACACATTTAAAGCCTATGTATTCACATTATTGGCATGATGTTCAGTACATGTCATTATTACTGATGTTAGCAAACTGCCTGTCAGGGCTTCTCTCGTGTCCAAGGTCTTTGTTAATGAATGGTGTTTATCATAACCACTTGACATGAGCCCACTGATGCACACTGAGGCACAGAAGACCTAAGGAATACAGCCGCCCCGGCTCGGGAGAAGGTCTGAGGTGTGATGCACTGACCATCTATGCGATCTTTGGAAAGATGGGTTAACAGTGCAGCCCCAGGCTGCTCCGTGAAAACTCTGACATCCCCGCATTGATCTTCATAATCTTTTTAAGAGAAAAAAAAGCCCAGAGATGTATTTATGAGAAAAGTTCTTGTCACCTTTCTTCTATATAAAGACACCATTTCAACATCACGTTGTTAAATCCTTACCTCATATTATACGTTTCTGATGAATGGTGTATGATTAAAAATTCGTCAAGAAAAGAATTTTTAAGGGAATAAAAGAAACTTACGTTAATAGCTTTTCAGAGCACCACGTTACCTTGTGTGTGGAACAGATTTCACTGTTGGCGTTTGTTCCTTCAGAAAATGACTGCGGTCCCACCTTGGTCCTTGGAGGGCCTCCCAGGATTTTTGGAACCTTTAGTTGCAGATCCAAATATGGGCTCTTCTGCTGCTGAAGGAGCTGAACGCTCCATGTTCAGAGCGTCTATTCACATCAGAAGATGAACCCTTTCATATGGAGGATTTAAATTTTTTTGTTGGCATAAATTTCTTGAATTGGGATCTGTAACAATGAGGATCCGTATTTGAAGTGTGAAAAAGAAACAAAAGCAAGTAAGCCCCCGAAAGTGGCTTTCCAAAGATAGAAAGTTATCTCTCTCTCTCGTAAAAGACTTTGAAGTGAGCAGCCCAGGTATGGGGACATCAGGGGCCCATGTTTGCCATCCTTGCTGTTTCATCCACGTTCAGTATGACTCTCTGAGCACTGGCCATCGGCTCTCATTTCAGCACTCTGGTCGGCAAAAGGAGGAAGCAGGGAAGACTAGCCTCATTTTAGGGACACTTCCTGAAAGTTCATCCCTTTGCCCAGACCTTAGCCGTGACACAGGCTGGAAAATGTAGTCTGTGTCCTCGGTAGCCTATATTGTCGATTAGAACTGGTAGCCAAGGCTAGGTTGGTTCCTGTGGAGCTAAGTGGACTGGGAGAGTATTATACACAAAATGAATCATAGAACACTACATCAAAAACCAATGATGTGATGTATGATGATTAACATAACATAATAAAAAAAATTTGTAGCCAAATTGCCTTGAAATTTTATTGTATTATTAAATAATCCATGTTTTTTTAACATCTATTATCCAAGGAAGTACTATTTATCTAATTTTATCGTTCCTGATTTTTTTTAGAAGTTCAGCAATCAAAATCATTCAGCAGTTATCTCTTTATTTCTCTTCTTCTTTCAGAAATGTGATGTCCTATGGGAAGACTTTCATCAAAAACTAGTGGATGGGTCCTTGCTGACACTGGATACCTATCTGGGCCAATTTCCTGACATAAAGGTATTTTACTTTGTGTCTATAAAGGGAAGAATTGTATGGTTCTGTGTACTTATTGAAACGTGGGCAAGAGATAAGTGGAATTCAGAGTCCTCAAACTGACATCAAACACAGTCACTTTTCATTTATTTAAGCATGGAAATTTTATCCTATCTTTTGAAATGAAATGTAGCCACAGAAATCACATTTTCCCCTTTAGCAAACTGCTTCAGCTTTCATTTCTCTACAGACATCCTTTTAATACTCTAGATATAAAATTGCAAACCAGATACCAAAAATTCCAATCTTCTTTGTGTTCCAACCTTTTTATTGTATAGCATTTGATAAGAATTTTCATTAGAATAAACAGCAGTCTCCAAGAAAGGAGAAACTTCATTGCAAACCTGAGAGCAAGATTCAGTCTTTCCTTGTTTACTGTTCAGAGCACACCTGCATATGTTTTCTCTCCTTAAAATTTCCTGGTTCAGATTGAACTGTTAAGATAGAAGCATTTCAAATACATTTGCAACTGGGTCTAAAAATATCTCATCTAAAACATTTGTCATATTTGACACTTGGATTCATTGATGGGAAATATATAAGTGGAGGATTGAACATCATAGATTTAGAATTGACCTTGGAGGTAGAGATGGTTTTTAAACCATCAGGGCTGTACATAGCACATGGTAGCATGAATAGATCTGCACCCAGTTGTTTTTCCTGCTCAAGGAGGAATACCAGGTAAGTACCATGGTGCTGCCCTTCTTATAGGGTGAAGGAGGCCGTGAACCAACATCCATTCATCTGCAGAGCCTTAATTAGGTGACTTCTGATGTGAAGCTCCACTTTTCTCTAGCCTGCTTTGTAGCCATTGCCAAATACCAGGACACTAGCTGCAGTAACATGCACTGGCCTTGGCCATGAAATATAGTGAAGCTTCTCAGCCAGAGCAGCACTCCTGTCAATGATGTCAATTTCCTTGGTCCCATACATAATACCTAAACTAATTGGCCAACATCCCAAGGTGTCTTTTGGGACACAGGGGCACCAGACAAAAAGCCTCGGTGGACCAGACTAGGTACATTAATTAGCCTTGGTGGCAGAATGTCACAGAGAACAAATCCAAATGACGGATTCTCAATGACGTTATCATAATAGGCAGGAGAGCACTTTCATGAGCCATTGCATGATTGTATCCTCATTAAAAGGTGTAAGTTGGCTTTTTAAAATTTTCTGAGAGATTTAAAAATTAAATTGAAAAAATTTTAGGATTCTCTGAGGCTGCCATGCACTAGCCTATAGAGAATGTCTTGGGATATCTTCAGATTATTTGGTGGACAGTCACATTTTGTCTTAGAATTTGTAACATTTGTGGAGCAAAGAGTCTCCGAATCATTATCACACTTCAGAATATCATTTGTTGCGTGGTAATTTAATCTCCATAAAAATCAGTCCCTAATAAATCAGAAGGGGATATGGGAAAACTTTGACCTCATACTTGAAAATTCCAAAGCAGTTTGCAACTAGTCTAAATTATTCATATAATATACATTAATAGTATGATTTAACTAAGCAAGTGAAGGCTCTGATTGACCAGAGAAGAACACATTTGAAAAGTTGTTCAGCTTCAGGAACAAAAACTTGGTATCATCAGAAAAATGTGGAGGATCTTGGTTGTTACGGTACTGCCCAGCCCTAGTAATTTGGAAATTGACCATATTCTCTAGGAGCATATAATTTTAGAAGACAAAAACACCCAGAAGTACCTGCATTGAAACATAGATCAAAATAAAATCATGATGGCAGCACCTGGGTGGCTCAGTTGGTTAAGCCTCTAACTCTTGGTTTCAGCTCAGGTCATGATCTCAGAGTCGTGAGATCAAGCCCCGTGTCGGACTCCATGCTCAGTGGGGAGTCTGCTTGTGGATTTTCTCCTTCTTCCTCTGCCCTTCTGCCTACTCATGCTCTCTCTCTCTCTAAAAATAAATAAATAAATATTTAAATTAATTAACTAATTAAATAAAATCATGATGGATGATATTGACTGTCTTCAGTTTGTTCCACATCAGAAAGATGAAGAACTCAGTAGAACTTTTGCTTAAGCAATTCTTTTCTTGAGGTCCATGGTTGAGGTCATGCACAAAGATGATCCTCCAGTGACTGAACCATCTTTGCACTAGAGATTTGGGAATAATGTCATCTAGCTGGGTGTCTTTAAAATAAATAAAATATATGTCATGGGGTTGCCTGTGTCATGGAAAGAGGCTGAAATAATCTTTCTCTGAAGTCACATTTAGAATAGCGTTTCAACCAAGGTGGACAATTGTGAAACCGTTTCATATGACAAAGAGTTGAGGACACAGCAGTGTTGAACTAGGAAAGGAAGCTATTTGGAATTGGAGAGTAGACACAGTAGCTGTTTCTAATATTTGAAAGACATTTTTTTCTGTGAAGATACACTTAAGTTATTCTCTGTGTCTGAATGGAAGGTAGAAGTAGATGTAGACTCTATCACTTTGTCAAGTTAGTGCTGAATGATTATGTAATGAATGGGTTATTGATGGAAAGGAACCTAATGATTAAAAATACTGTGTGGAGAATTTTCAAAGCATGGAACACAACTGACTTCCCTGACTTCCATTAAAATCAAACAGTCCATGTGTAGTTAACATGTCAGGCAAATTTCCAAATATTTACTGCTGCTCACCAGCAAGGACTATGAAGTATCATTCATGAGGGAATGATGTTTGACTTTTCTAACTGTGATTGGCAGGGCACCCGGTGTTATAGTTCTTATTATGCAGCACTGACATCTAAAATCAATGTTATAATAAGAGCCAGCTTGTCCTCAACCCAGGCAGGCTTACAGCTGTGAGCAGTTATTGTAAAATGTAGTTTAGATTCTATCTTCGCAGCCATGCATAAGCACCTAAACATGTATTTACAACAGTGTGCCTTAGTGAATTCCAAGTTGGGGTTATTATTGACATTTAAAAAAAATACAATAAATTAATTTTTTTACTGTATAAGGTCAGTGTGCAGTGGGAAATTTGAAGAAATTTCAATTGAACCATATCATTAAACTCTTTACTGTTAAACTAGTAAATTTACTTAAATTTATTACTGGATGGTTAAATAAGAATTGTGTTATTTCCCATATAAAAGCTAAGGTGGATTAACTCTACCCTTACTTAGAAGATTTGATTCTACAAGTTTTTCAAGTATCAGGTAAGGAAATAAGATTGATTTGTATTTCCAACACAAAATTGTGTGAATCAAAATGAGTGATGGCCTTCAAAACAGGCCCTTCTACTATGGTAAGCCCTGCTCTGTAATTGACTTGTCAGTTACCCAAGAAAATGAGTCACATTATTTATTTCACTTCTTGTTTTTGAACAAAAAAAGATGACCCAGTGTACTCTTCCACCTTATTCCCAGGCTTGGAAGTCATTGAATTTTGGCCCTTTTCAAAAAAATCACATTCATCTTCAAAGAATCAAGATTGGCTTCTTGGAAGATACTAAAGAAGAGTTCCCCACCCCAACCCCTCCCCTACAAGTCCATGAAGCAGAACTTTATCAGAGATACACAGAGTTACACAAGTCCACTGCTTCAAGGAACAGTGTTCCTTTGAGGATAGTAGTTAGATGTTTGCTAGAAATAATGAGTTGGTCACCTCATAGGCACACTCTCCCCACTAGAGTGCCCTGAAGGGCCTCCCTGCATCCTGCCTAGACTAATTCATCCCCTATCTTTAAGAAAATGTGAGTCAGCCATGCTTTCCGCTAGCACCAGTTGGAAGTGGTAGGTGTAGAGGGTGAAGAGATTGGAAGCGGCTAAATGAGAGTAACTGCCCCAACCCACCTCTCACCCATCCCGAAGGGGATATAGAGGAATAGCATAGAGTGACAGGTGGTAATTGAATGATGGGGTAGGTCAGAGAAATATAGGAGCAGTTAAGAGGACTGACCAAGAGTCAGGAGGAGGGCTGGGACTGGATGAGGCAGATCAGGCCACTAGAGTTCAAGATATAAGGAGGCACCTACTCTTGGTTGCTGACCCCACAGGTATGTGTCCCTGAGAGTAAGGGCCTTCTTAGATGTTGTGCCCTAGGTGTCTCATGTGCCTCATTCTACTCCTGGTACTGGTTGGTGTGGGGTGGGAGGGTTGGCTGACCTCTAATTCATCTTTGCCACAGACTTTCTAAGCAATTCTGGACAAGTTAGAAGTTAATCTCATGCAACTGGAGATTCTCTACTTGTAAAATGGGAATAATCCCTGCAATACCCATAATGTAGGTTGCTGAGGATCTGTGAGTTGTGACTGTGTTTGTATGCCATAAACATGCTAGTGTTGTTTTCTTCTTTCTACCATATAAAACTAAAAGTTTTTTAAGGGTCTCCTCCTGTAGTAGTTCTCCAATTGGACTGGCTGGGTGTAACTGAACAACTAGGGGTCTTTACAAAAAAGCCAAATGCATGGGCCTTGCATTAGACTAAATAAATTTGCTTATTAGTTGCTTATTAGTTATACTTCCTTTTTTAAGATTTATTTATTTGATTTTTTAAAAATTTTTATTGTTATGTTAATCATCATACATTACATCGTTAGTTTTTGATGTAGTGTTCCATGACTCATTGTTTGTGCATAACACCCAGTGCTCCACGCAGAATGTGCCCTCTTTAATACCCAAAACCAGGCTAACCCATCCCCCCAGCCCCC